CCTCCACCGCCCTTTCCAAAACCTCCACCTATTCCTCCACCTTTTCCAAATCCACCACCAGCTCCACCTCCAACAACACCTCCTCCACCAAGTCCTCCACCAGAACCTCCGCCGACTCCTCCACCAACTCCCCCACCCTTTCCGCCGCCAAGTCCTCCACCAGATCCTCCGCCAAGTCCTCCACCAGAACCTCCACCAAGTCCTCCACCAACTCCCCCACCCTTTCCGCCACCAAGTCCTCCACCAGAACCTCCGCCAACTCCCCACCAACTCCGCCACCCCAAAACCTCCACCAACTCCTCCACCATGTCCTCCTCCTATTCCACCACCAACTCCTCCACCTTTACCAAACCCACCGCCAACTCCACCACCATGTCCCCCTCCTATTCCACCACCAACTCCTCCACCTTTACCGAATCCACCACCAACTCCCCCACCTTGTCCTCCTCCAATTCCACCACCAATACCTCCACCCGTACCGAACCCACCACCTTTTCCACCGCCAATTCCCCCACCAATGCCTCCACCTTTATCGAACCCACCACCAACTCCACCACCTTTTCCGCTACCAATTCCACCACCAATGCCTCCACCTTTACCGAACCCACCACCATGTCCTCCACCACTACCACCACCTATGCCTCCACCTTTTCCAAATTCACCACCAACTGCACTACCATGTCCTCCTCCAATTCCACCTCCAATCCCTCCACCTTTCCCGAATCCACCACCAACTCCTCCATCATGTCCTCCTCCGATTCCACCACCATGTCCTCCACCTAAACCACCGCCAGCTCCCCCACCAACTCCACCGCCGAAACCTCCACCTTCACCAAACCCACTGCCGATTCCTCCACCTCTACCAAACCCACCGCCGATTCCTCCACCTTTACCGAACCCACCCCCAGCACCACCGCCAACACCTCCTCCAAAACCACCACCGCCGCCAAATCCACCACCCTTGCCAAACCCTAAGAACTTCTCATCCCCCTCCCCCTGCAACTCCCTACCAAATACACACCCAGAAAAAACGCATAAGATCACCAACTGGACAGTCCTCCTTGTGCCTTGTGTCATCCTTACAAAGCACTAGAACACTAAAAAATCTGATGACAATATATAGTGAGAGTAGAGCTTTATATAGAGAAATCTTAGAGGGAGAAGTATGCAGAGTTAATAGACCAACAACCTATGTTTGGACTTATAAATGCATGGTTGGGGCATGCATTTATCGCCCCGCGTGGTACAGATTGGAGGCCAACATATAACAAAGCCCTTTCTTTTCTTGGGAAAAGTTTATATAGAGCCGAGGCTCTAAACAATCAAATTAGAGTTTACCTCAAAAATTTTACTAAAAGAGGTTGTTTTGATGTTCAAATATCTTCAAATTGATCATTTCGACATCAAAATGCATGAACATAATAAAAAAAAGGATTTCAAGTTTTGGAAATATTGTATTCTGTAACGCATTTTTGGACCGTCAATTTTTAATATTTTTAAGTTTTCATAGATCTGCTTGATCTAAGCTATTTTTTAATCTTTAAATTTTATAATTAAAGATGAAAATATATTTAAAAGTTATAAAAAAAAATTCCAATATTGAAACCACATTTCTCAATACTATTTGAAGGTGGGCTCTACTTTTGATTGTTGAGCCTCGGCATTATACAAACCACATCCCTTTTTCTTTTATTGGTTGTATTTTATTTTATTTTATTTTATTTTATTTTATTTTTTTGCTTTTCCCGTATAAAAGTCAAGGAAAACAATTGAATGCATGGATACGTACGCGTCCTTCACTCAACTCCCACATGGCAACCTCGTGCATGTGCCCGTATATGGAAATCCACTTCAACTTTAACCCACTATCAAAGAAAAAAAAAAAAAAGTTTATATAAAGTATCAGCCATATATATTGAAATAATATGTCCTTAAAAGGTAGTCTAAAAGAGAGTGGTTCAATGTTGAAAAACCATCCAATTGATCATCTTGGACTTGAGGTACATGAATATGAAGAAAAAAAAAAATTTAAATCTTAAAAATGATGTATTTTGTAACAAATTATTTTGAAGATTTTCAAGTGTTGGTAGATCTGCCTGACTAAACTATTTCATAAAATTTAAAATCATAATTAAAGATGAAAATAGATTTTAAAAAGCATCATAAAATTTTCAACACCAGCATTATATCTCGAGGCAAAATTTAAAAGTGTACCTTACTTAGGAGCGTACCTTATATAAACCTCACCCAAGAAATAAAAGGTAAAACAATATCTTCCAAACCACCAAAATAAAAAATAAAACTCTTAAGGAGATAAAACTCAATGAATGAAATAGAAATCTTTGAAAAATACCTAACCAATAAATATCTTTGAAAACTTAGTACCAAAACCTTGAAAGTGTACGGTCCAAAATCAACCCTAAAAACTAGAAGTGTGAAGAAAAGGGTGAAAACATAAAGAAAAGGAAAAAAATATACAAGTGTGAGGCTCTAAACAATCAGGGCACACATCAAAAATTTCACTAGAAGACATTGTTTTGATGCTCAAATTGATCATCTCAACCTCATGATGTATAGACATGAGAAAAAAATGGATTTCAAGTTTTTGGAAATAGTGCATCATGTAATGTATTTTTAGACCGTTATTTTTCATGATTTTTAATTTTTCATAGATCTACTCAATCTATACAATTTTTAAAGGTTTAAATTTTATAATTAGAGATGAAAATATATTTTAAGGCTATCACAAAGATTTTCAGTATCGAAACCACATTTCTCGATACTATTTGAAGGTACGCTTTACTTTAATTGTTTAGAGCCTCGGCTCTATACAAATCGCACCTAAAAAAAAAGATAAAAAAAATGGATAAACAGAATATACATGTAGTTTGATGTCGGTAGCCACAGGAGTAAAGATTCATTTGTATCGAATGTAATATCATATTTTGCAATTCTTTAATGCAATAAATTTAAATGCATGTTTAGTCGGTATTCTCATTTATGGCCATCTATGACACTCGTGTGCTTTTCATTCTGGCAACCGAATAATTGGAAGACTTTGTTGACCACTCTTCAATGTATACTACATCTTAACAATTTTAATTCTTCATATATGTGTGCCGGTAGCAACGTACTTGATCAGAGAGCGTGTCAGAAAAATCGGATCGGACCGGTTTACCTTGGGGCCAGTGGGTGACAGATCCCGGACTCGGACCAATTCAGAAAAATATCGTTTTAGAATGATTTGAAGATCCTAAATTTTATAAACTTTGTTTACAATTTTTATACTTTTATGGAAAAAGTTTGGGAGTCTTTCGTGCCGGCTCACCAATTTGGTTGATTGGACTCAAAACGGTGGCTAACCGGTTGAACCCATCAGTCCATTTTTTGTACACTGATTGGAGAAGAACCAAACAATCCTTAAGCCGGCATGTAATGACCAAACAAAAAAAACTACCCAACTAAATAAATATATAAAACGCAATGCTTAGAGGCGAAAATAAACAGTATTTTTGCCCATAAGCTTGGTATTGTCCAATTTTTTCAGATGGTGATGATTAAAGACTGCCACAGACCAAACATGTTTGTAGCAATCAAAAACCACGTGAAACCGCTATGGACCATGCGCCTTCTTTTATAGCTCTTTTGATTAAACCGCTATGGACATAATATGTCTGTCCACTCGCTATCAAAAACGTTTTGATAGATTTGAAATAAGTGCCTTAGCATAGCCAAAAGGAATTGTGGAAAAGGAATCAAGTGGCCCGTTTATAAGTTCACTACTTGTTCATAGGAAAGATTCAAGGTACGGTTTTAAAGTTGGATCAATGTGTCGGTGGTGTCAGTTATATATTACCTGCAATATTCAATTACTTCTCAGTGCTCTTTTGGTAGGGCTTCATATTTATTCTTGGATCTTTATTACCTAGTTGAATACAGTACTGGAGTAAATAAGAATTTTCTTCTGGGTGATAAAGAGACGTAAAATGTGGCAACCTAGTGAATATATCAAATTTAATTCATATTCTCATGTCCTTGTGGCATAAATGCACCACCATTATATATATATATATATATAGGGAAAAGATAGAATTAGCCCACTAGCTCATATGAACATATGAGCCCAACGTTCTAGATTGATTCTAGACCGATCTGACGATCACGGATGTTTGGTAGCGTTTGAATTTTAGTTTTTTTTCTATAAATCCAAATCACTTGAAATTAGACGTGTGTCCATAAAAAATAAGTGAATCTTCGAAAAATATCAAAAAAAATATTTTAAATGAAATAAGTTGATCAAAATACCCTTGAAAATCTTCGGTAGGTATTTTGGTCTTTTTTTTCTTTACGAA